GCGGCGGCGGCGGCGGCGGGGAGAGCGCTTCGGGGAGCCGGGCAGTTTGGGGGAAACCTAAGCTCCCGAGTCGGCTGGGTTTCTTTTGTTCGCTTCGGAGCCTGGGGGCCGAAGATGTCGCCGCCTTGTTCCCCTCTGGGTGGAAAAGCAGAGTCTGGGTAGCTGAAATGGGCTCTCTGGGAGAGAGAGACTGCGAAAGATGGGGAGAGAGTTGGGGAGACAGGCCCCCCCCGCGGGCCCCGCGGTGGGGAGGACGGCCGAGCCCTCTGAAGGCAGAAGCGCCGAGGGCTACAAGACCCAGCAGTTCACCAGCACCGAGCGCCCAGACTGAGACCCCGGTTCTTCGCACAGGCTCTGGCTGTGCGGGGTCGCGAAGTTCCCCTGTGGGGAATGGGTGCGCTGGTGTGGATGCCCGCAGGGAGTCTGAGAGAGGGCCGTGAGGGACTGCGGGCTGAGCGAGTAACACGGAGACAGGGACAGTACAGTTCCAGGTAGACGTTAGTTTCAAAAAGGCCGTCCTTTAAGCCAGGCCCGAGGGCCCATTCCCTGATGAAATCGGAGAGACTGGCTGCGCTCCCTGTGTTTACTCAGGTCACTGGGCCGCTCTGGACACCACTTCCCATGACCTGTCCTGTGTCTCTGAGACCACAACCTCCGGGCAGGGGCAGGGAAACTCGACGGTTAATCGTTTCCTCAGATGGGAACAGGACAATTGACTTGATTCACCACCAAACATCTGTTCATTGGGTGCTGTTCGTCCCCCGATCATTTTCTTCATCACCAACAATCATTCGTTGGAAGATTTTCAAATTTCATTACTTCTAAATGTGGTACTTGTTGATAGGTATTTAAAAATAACTGCTTGAACAAAAATTTAAAAATAATTTTTATGTTTCAAATAAGCCCTGCTGATGTGGCTTTCTAAAATCTGGAAGAGGAAAGGACCTGGCTCCCCAGGAGCTCTGTCCATAGCTCCCCATTTCTCAAGTCTCTTCTGCCTCTTCATTTCCCCTAGGACCCTTGGGGATGGGTGAGAGGGCAGAACTTCTCCATTTGGGTCAATGACTGATTGCACAATGGCCCTTTCCTCCTTCCAGCTCCCCTCCCTCCATCTCACACTTTTTTTTAACTTACTTTTTTTTTTTTTAACCATATGGTGTTGTCCTCTATTTCTTAGGGAGAACACTGAAAACAATAACTCCTCCTCCAACAAGCAGAATCAACTCTCTCCTCTGGAAGGGGGCAAGCCGCTCATGTCCAGCTCAGAAGAAGAATTCTCACCTCCCCAAAGTCCAGACCAGAACTCGGTCCTTCTGCTGCAGGGCAATATGAGCCACGCCAGGAGCTCAAACTATTCTCTCCCAGGTTTAACCGCCTCTCAGCCCACCCACGGCCTGCAAGCCCACCAGCATCAGCTCCAGGACTCTCTGCTGGGCCCTCTCACCTCCAGTCTGGTGGACTTGGGGTCCTAAGGGGGAGGGATTGGGGCCTTGAAGCAGCGACTAGGGACACTTGTAAATAGAAATCAGGAACATTTTTGCAGCTTGTTTCTGGGGTTCTTTGTGCATAAAGGAATGGTGGACTTTCACAAATATCTTTTTAAAAATTCAAACCCAACAGCGATCTCAAGCTTAGTGCCCTCTTCTCTCCAACTCTTTCCACTTTTGCATTATTTCCCCTCCCAGTGTGGAGATCAGGGAAAAGAAAAAAAAAAACAACAACCCAAATAAACAAAAATATCCAGTCACCCAGTCTTGGTTCTGGGCAACCCGTGTTCCTGCTTCAGTAGCCTTTCTTTTTTCTTTTTCTTTCTTTTTTTTTTCAATGAATGGGAATTACAAAATCAACTGGATTTTAATTATTTCATTTTAATTTATTTATGGAAAAATGTTTTGAGAAGAGGAAAAGGAAATGAAAACGAGAGAGAGAGAGAGAGAGAGAGAGAGAGAGAGAGAGAGAGAGACAGAGACAGAGACAGAGACAGAGACAGAGAGAGAGAGAGGAGATCAAAATAGTGAAAAGATCCTCCAGCCTGGGGGGAACTGGTTGCATTCTTAAGGTGAATAGGAAAAATACGATCTTATAACTTTTTTTTGATGGGGAAAATTAAGTTTACATTTTCATATTTAGTGTTAAACAATTTTATGTAGATTAAAATGAAAGAACAGTATTAGGGGAAAAAACAAGTGCCTAAATGTCTTAATGCTCTCTATGTGAGGCAGTTAGAAATAGAAGTGACCATTAGTAATACAAATACTTCTGTCAAATTTAGTGGGGGTTTTTGGTTGTTGTTTGTTTTCTTGGGTTTTTTTTATGGCAAACTTTAAAAATGTACCAGTGTGAAAAAACACTTTCCTGAATGCCATTACTTCTCATGCCCTTGAAGCTTTCTTATCTGTAGCCTACTCCTGTTAAGGGTTTATCCTGTTCCTAGTTTCTAGCTTGCAAAAATAGGTAACAAATCTAGCAACCTGGTATTTGTTACTAAAACAGCATGTGTTTTCAGGTTTCTTTTCTATTGTACCTAAACCAGTCTAAATTAAAACTTAGTAGAACACCAGGAGTACCGATTCTGTTTCTGAAAGGTGAGTTGTGTATTGCTGTCATTGGGCCCCCCCCCCATTTTTTTTAAACGAATAGTTTTCTTGCTTTCTTACTTAATGGTGGTTATGAATTGCAGGGTACTTTGAAGGCCATCCCCTGAACCAAGAGTGGTGACTGAGTTAATTATATGACAGAAAAAGAGTGAATTTAGCTTTGGGGTATTTATTTATTTTTTTATTATTTAGAGATGCAGTTTTGTTTACCACTAGCTCTTCTCCACATCATTCGTATGTTAGCTCTTTTGTATTATTAACAAATTTATGACAAGACTGTGAAAGTAAAATAATTTATCTGCTTGGGGGGGAAAAAAAGGGAACCTGTACAAGGATAGCAACATTGTGAATTACTCTGTACAAATAGAAAGCAGACCAACAGGACAGGAGTTCTTTGCGGTGCTGCCTGATAGTGTCCAGAAAAATCCCAGTAATCATGTAGGCTCCAAATTATTTTTGCCTGGGGCAAAAATGATGTATCTTTGTATTTAGCTTTTAAAATTAGTGAAACAAATGGCATTATTTATTAAAATTCTACTCAGGATAACAGGATTGGCTTGCTTGTGCTTTGTAAAATATTACTCCCCAGAGGAAGTCTATTTTCTGACATGACAGTTTCATAATTTTGATTTTTCTCCATCTGTGTCACGATTAATATATTCATTTCTTTCTTACTCTTTCCTATCTTTCCTGTCCTGATCTAGAAGTGGGGGTGGGAGATGGGGAGATTAAGGCCTTCTTATTATGAGTTGTTTTTTTTTTTTTTAAATGCTAAATGGCTGTGACTGAGTTCCAGGGAGAAAGGGTCACTGTACTTAACTGTAGTCACTTTTACTTATAAAGTCATTTTTCCCCTCAGTGATGGACAGATGTTCACACAGCCGCTCAGAGACCATCCTTTGGATTGGGAGCTCAGGGTCCCAATCTCCCTTGTTAGTGTTTTGGATCATTAAGTTGGTGTTTATTTAAGTCACTAGGGTGTTTATTCTCCACGTCTTGGGCCACGGAGAAATGCCACCCTCTGCAGGAGGGGCTCTCACAGGGGATCTCCTCGCATTCTTCACATTCACTCCCCAAAACAAACACCCTGCACAAAGATAGCTTTCAATGACCCTGACAGGCTTCAAAGGACGCCGCGGAAATCTCCCTGAAAAATAGGAAGGGCCAATTACTTTAATTTCTTACATGCCCTCTCTTCCTACCCAGATGACTACCCCCCACTCTTCCAGCTCTGTTTAGTATAATTTTAGACTCGTGGAAGTTCTGTCTCCCTGGGCACCCCGGCCCACTTCCTGCTCCCTTGGTTGGTGAATCTTGGAAATGTCTGCAAATCTGGCAAGGAGCAGAGTGGGACGGTCCTGTAAAAGCCCCTGTGATTACTGCTTGTAAACTCGTTAAAAGGACAATTTTCTGTCACAGTCATAAACTCTTTGTAAAATCCCTGGCATTCGATCCAGAGTGCGCAAATTCCAGATGTGTTTAATAAGAAATTGCACAATGTGCCTCCCTCACCATCCTCCTCTCAGTCTGGCTAAACCAGGGACAAGCAGGAGGAAGCGAGAAAGCTGAATATTGCTTTGAGTTTTCTTGGCAATCATTTTAGAGCAATCATGAGGGGGAACTAACCTTATATTTTTTTTCCTCGAGGAAATCTTCAAGGACCTGCTGTTAAGGGACCTCCAATTTACCTTCTTGGCTTCACAGTTTAACTGAATCAAAAGCCACTTTTCGATTTCTCCTTTACAGATTTCATAAGGAGAGCCCAAAGTAATGAACGACGGCTTATAAATAGTTTTTAGGATGAAACCTTACAGAATTTTATCAAGTAAAATGAAAACAATAACATATTAGGGCAATTTTTAAATTTTTTACGTTTTAGATCTGAACACAGGATTGTTCGGGTCCCCACTGCCTGCTTGCCTTGACCTCTTGGCTGAGAACGAAGCTTCCTTAAATGCTCGGGAGGCCAAGGGGCTTGGCCGACGGTTCCTGAATTTGGCTTAGCAGGTAGGGACTCAAGAGTCTCCAAAGCACCACGAGCTGCGGGCAGGGAGAAAGAGGCCGCTGAGGCCGGGCACCGCCGGTCTTGAACTATTCTCCAGGCAGGACAGGTTGGGCTTGACCCCGAGATGAAGCGGAAGCTTCCAGGAAGAGGCAGTGGCATTGGTGCTTGTGGGCGAACTCTGAGTTTGCTGAGCAGTGACCCTTGTCACGCCGCTCTCCCCCGCACCCTGAGGGCGAGTCGGGCACCTGGCACTGACCCCGCACGGAAAGGCTGTTCCTCTGCTCCCCCGCAGCCGCCGCGCCTGCAGCGGCGGCGGCGGCTGGAGGGGGCTTCACTCCTACCGCCTCCCCCGCCTGGAGGTCTTTGGTCAAGTCTGCAAGCAGAACTCCAGGTTAGGGAGCCAGAGGCTTCCGTTCCGCGCGCCTCCGGCTGCAGAAAACTGGAGGAGCTTCTCCGGCCACCTGCAGACTCCCGTGGCTGCTCCTGCCACTCTGCCCTCCCAAGGCGCGGGAAATCGGGGCGCCGCTGCTCTCCACCCCCGGACCCGGGTGGAGCCGCTTCACCTTTTCACGGAGAATCGCGCGCATCCCGGGAGCCGCATCACTGCGCAGCTCCAGGCGCGGGGCCTGGTGGCCCGGCCTGCTGAGCCCCTGAGGCTAGCTTCTAAGGTCCAGACCGTGGAGGAGGCAAAGGCCTGAGCTTCGGGGGACAACGCAGCTGCTGTGGCCTTGGGCACCCTGGAGCCACCTCCCAAGCTCAAGTCGCTTCTCGCTCTTTGAATTAAGAAGCTAAGTTCCGGGCGAGGCACGTGAGCCACGCGGGAAGCGCTACCGCGGGGTTGGACCAGGCCCAGTGGCGGAGGGATGAAGCGGTCTTGGCCACTCGCGGCTCCCGGGCCAGGCGTCAGGTGGGAGCGCTCCCTGGTTCTCAGACGCGAGGGCAGCCGGCTCAGGCCCAAGAGTCTGGTTGGGAGGCGGCCTAGGCCCGGCCGCCCTTCCTACTTCAGGTATGGCCAGTTTCCTTTGCTTCCTGCGGCCTGGGTCTTGGCCCTCGGACCTGGGCTCATCACCCGCGCGCTCGGCGGAGGGGTGCCAGCCACAGAGGGTGCCCCTTCCCTGGCTTGTTGTTAGAACTTCAACGGCGGCCGAGGAGAGCGGCCCGGGTTTCTAGAGTCTCGGACAGGACCGGGCGGCAGCTCGGCTTCCTTCGCTGGGCCTGGCCCGGCGTTTCCCCCTAGCCCGTGGCCCCGGGGCGAGCAGCGGCCTCCTCCCCACGCACCTCCCGGGTCCCCAGCAGGAAGGCCCCGGCCGAGGCCCGCAGCGCGCTTCGGGCTGGGCTGTCGCGGCGCACACTTTGCCCTTCTTTGGTGGGGCAGGTGGTGTTGACAGAACAGGTGGGTCAGGGTTAAGGTGAGGAGAGTGGCTGGTGGCCCACGTGCTCTCTCTACGTTATTTCTTTTTTCTGAGCTTTTCCCAGGAGTAGGAGACTAAAAACCCTCCCAGACTACCTCCTCCAAACACCCGAAGCCAGCGGAGCTAGTGTCTGTGCCCACTTAGCCCCCAGGGGCAATTTGCACCAAGTGTACCCGAGGGCTCAGTTCCTTAGCCCGCAGGTATGCTCCGTGACCTTAGGTGGGGACTTGTGAGCCCCCTCAAGTGACCCCCGCCTTCGTTTCTTCCCTAGTTTGATTGAATACAATAGCTCCACCTGGCAGGTTCTCTAAAGACATGGGTAAGCCAGCCAGGACCGAGAAGTCAAAATCATGGGCGAGTTGTTGGCTTGTCCTCTGCCCAGAAAAAGTGCTGCCCTGGAAAGGCTGCATTTTCTTTAGTGTTTTAATCTGAGTATACACACACAACTTAGTTCCAGCTGATGAAATTGGAAACCTGTTCTCCCACTGAGGATGGCAATCACTGTTTTAGGCGCTGTGGTCCTTTCAGACAGCGAGGAACAACACTGCAGTAGCATTTAAAAACAAAGAGAAAGAGATTGCTTGAGGCGCATGTATGCCTGTCTCCCATCTGAGTTTCAGCTTCTATCCTTTTAACTTGTTAATGGACAGCTGAGACCCCACTTCTCAGCAGGGAGAGCACAGACACCT